TACCTTCATACGAAATGAAGGTCCCCCTTACAATACTTATATCGAAACATGTAACCTAGTCAATTGAATGGTAAACGCATATTTGCTTAATCTACAATCCCAGTATAAAAACGAAAATTGAGATATGCTCGGCTTGCCTTAAATGTCGCGTGTGATCCGCTGGCACGAGCGGCTGTAGAGTAGAGTGGAGTGGTACCATCGCCACGATACTCTCGACCCTTTATTGAATCACACTGGGGCTGTTGATGATGCCAATTCAGACGAGGTCGAAACAGCTGTCCAATCCAGTCTATTTAAGATAGCATTTTGGGAGGCTAGTTTAAGTGAAATGAAATGTCATCGCGAGGTCTACTTATCTAATTGTGGAAAAACTCAATTATCAGTCTTTAATTCAATTTAAGCAACCTAGGAAGACTAAACTCTTACTAAAGAATTATTGTTAATCTCAAAAACTATGTATATTGGTAATAAGCGACGAAAAATTGTTGATCGTCAATCTCATCTCATTTTACTTCGATGTAACTAAATTTTATGAATGGGCCTGCTTAACCTTCATGCATCCTCCTTCCTCGTGATTTAGTCATCAGTTATTTGATTCTGATACATCTTTTTCTTCTTTTCTATTCTTTCCCCTCATTCTTCTTTTTGGTCCTTTTAGTCTTGTACTATTTTCATTAGTATCCCCTACCTTTCACTTGTGGCCAACGATATTCTAGCCTTATCTTTGAGCACGGTACAGCCGTGCAGCATGTTTTTCTGGTCCCTTCTCCTCTCATACCGGAGCTCTGTTGGGCCAGCACTGGGTCTGTCCGGAACGAGTTTCATGAATATTTGAACCATCAGGTGCTGAATATTGGACCGACGAAGCTGAGCATCGGTGTGAGTTAAGTCCCTGTTACCTGATTCCCGGTCGCCTGGGTTTCGCAACCCGCCTAGTCACTGAAAGCTAATATGCTCGCATGTGTTTGTTCATCGAGGGTCTGTATCTGGTCGTTTCAGTCAAGATGCACATATGCCTCGACGGAAGAATGTGCGCATACATGTGCTCTTCTAGAAGTGCACATCACAGGGCCTTGATGAAACGGTTGCATCCATTGGCTCAAACGGCACTCGTAATCTCAGAGTGTCATTTGCCGCGCACTCGTCTTCTCAAAGTGGAGGCGCTAAGTCTGGTATGCCTCTTCACCCACTTGTAATTCATTGATTGATAATAAAATGGATTTTCACGAAATTGAACGTAAAGTTATTTACAGAGTTTATGGCTGCATTCTCAATCAGTTTTCATTGGATTGCCGCTACGGGCATTCGTTGTGACACTTTTTTGGCTAGCCCTGCCCGTCTAGGATCGATCTCTGGCTCTACACTCTACAAATCTAACAAACGTAACTGCCTCTCCGAGACGAAAACATCCTCACGGCATACTGGACCGAGGGTATCTTAAACTTATTCTCGTAGATCGCCTCGTAATTCAACTGTCTCGCATCACCAGTCTGCCTCTATTTCACCTAATTTCTTGTCGTTCCGCGCCAACACCTACTCACGTACATTTGCATACAAATGCATATACGTGCATCAACCAAGTTGTCAGCATGTTCGTTGCATCAGATCTGCTAATCACTTTCAGCTGTAGCATGGTGTTGTTTACCCTCTTCTGCATGGCTATTTGCAGTAACAAATTGGTGTGTGTGTGTGTGTGTGTACTTTAAGAAAACAAATTGGTCAAAATCTCGATTGTCATACTTCAATCGCACAAATACAAAAGAGGTCAATTTCAATCGCAAATGCCTCGAGTCTCCAAGCCGATCTCCGGTACCATACTAGGTTAGCAGTCCAACTCTGAAAAGTATGAAAGCTACTGTGGTGTTGACCAAGTTGCAAAAATGAGGGGGCTCTCGTACTTGGCAGAGGTCTACTATTACTTGGGCATGCCATAACTGCATGAAGAGGTGGTTACATCCACATAAATTAACCCAAAAACGCCTTATCGTCCAAGACGAATTGGTCTCTCTGCTCTTCCAAGATCTCATAAATTCCTGCACACTCTTTGAAAGCAGGTTATGCGTTTATAGGGACAAACTATCGTATCGAGCATACTGACGAGTTGCTTGTCAACTGTATCCAACATTCACGGAAGGCCGGGCGAGGTGCAGGCTACTCCAAATGGGACTGCAATTCAAAAGTAATCCTAGATTAGCCATCACTTCTATGGGTGCTCTGATTTAGTTTGGGAATAATTTACTGATGAGCCCTAAGCTGCATATTGCTGTATATTTTACTGATCGGAGAAGCTTTTTTACCCAAAGTGGCTTTAAGCATCGTTTATTTAAGACTAGAAACAAAAGTTTGAGTTAAAATCTCAATCTGGCCAGCTTCTAAATATTCTAGGGTTTGGTTGGCTATCTCCCATTTCTAGATATAAAGATGTATTCACCCAATTTTTTTTAAGGTGATGAAGGACTGGTAGA